ATTCATATGTGACTTTCATGTCTGTGAATTGTGCTGGGCAGATAATCATGAAAACTTGACAGTCTCTCCTTCAAAGCAGAACTGTGAGAAGCAATTACATACACTTTGAATACCAGCTGGACGAGCTTCCCGCACCATAAAACACTGCATTTAATTTTTGAACCTGGAGGAGTTGCATTCTGCCATCTTTACTCTGTCTTCAAATAAGATTACTGCACTGTGCTCCAGGAAAAAAACCATGATGCTTATCTTTTGCACTACCTGCAGAATTCACTGACCCCTGTGATACACAGGGTAGGACTGAACGATCAATCATCTTTAATCTTTAAAACCTACCAGCAGAAAGAGGGAAGTGCACAGCTCCCTCCAATATGTGTTGTTCTGTTATCTGTGGCAGAATCCCTAGTATATAAGAATCTGAGCTTTATAAACTGCCTCATAAAATCCTGCATTTATCATCAGTGTCGGTATTGGGTGTAACTAAATCAGCATGAAGAGTGGTTTAGCAACATGTATTAACACGACCAAGCAATGCAAATCACAGTTCCTGCAACTCATTTTGAGCTGTTCTTAGAACAGGGAGGAGCAATTCACAATAAAGGGTGAAAATCATCGGTTTTCCCCTTTTTGAGCTTTTACTTCTTGTTAATTAATTCATACTGTGCATTAGTTCTGGTTGGTGGATACATTTAGATGTTTTGTGTGTCTGAGAGCATGTCTTTACCTCCATTCACATTATGAAACAAGCACAACAAATATGCCTATTGACTGGGTATCTGCATTTGGTCATTTGAAAAATGTGTCACCATAAAGGTCACTTGGATGCTTGAGGACAGGAGGAAGGAAGGTGTAAGTAGAGACATACATTGCACCAGGGCTGTCAAGCGACAGAAGCTGTGCACAGGCTCTTTTGCACCCCCATAAAATCTTCTGCTCCACACTCTGCTGACAGAAATGTGGTAACTTGTTTTTTAACTCAAGGCATATACCTGTGCTCAGTCAGTTTCAAATTATCATTAATCAGCACTCCAAAACCACCCTGAAGTCTTCACACACTTGTTGCTGTAAGCCAGTCAGCCAGAACACAGAAAAAAAAATCTTGTGTGATTTAATTTTCTTGATCAGGAACATCAAAAGGAGTGTTAACTATGTGGACAAAAATCCTATTCTAATTTATCAGGACTTAAATACATGTTTTTATATCACTATTTGCATTTTTCGCTAAGTATATGTCCAGATAGCCAATGGAAGAACAATTCCTGCTTGAGTGCTGGCTACACTTGTTTATGTTTATGGCCAAGAATTACCAGTAAAACCTAGAATATGATAGAGGTAGAATTGGCAAAATTAAGGAAAAACTGTGAACATTCTAAATAATGGCATTTTCTTCTGTCACTTCCTTCTAGGAAAGCTCTGTGAAGAGGGGTGTGTTTGCAGGGATTTTCACAAAGCCTGCTGAGAAGGGAGGTGTTACCTGGGAGGAACATGTTGTCCTCCACATCTATATTTTTTGCCAAAGATGAAGCAATTTGCCCTGAAACTTTGTTCCTCTGTGTCACGTCAGGATTTTGCTCAACTTGCTCTGGTGCTGAGCTGAGCTGACAGCACACTGCTGACGCTTGGGAAAAGGGGAGAGGGGCTGTGGTGCTATAAAACCCTGGGAAAAGGGGAGAGAGGTAGTGACACCGAGGGGCAGCCAAGTCTTCCTGGCAGCCACAAAATGCAGCATGGCAGAGGCAAGTTGTCTTGCATCACCCTCTGATCAAATTCAGTTGATGATCAGAGAGCTGGGAACAGTTGAGACCATCCTACAGAAATTTTTGTCCAAACTAAGGTTTGGAGACCATGAAGAGGATGGTCTTTCACTTCTGAAGAGATGAGCAAGTGCCATTAAAATGCCCAGAAAGAGCCCTTGTGTAAATTCTATTTGCCTTCTGCACTTAATTAAAAACAAAGTAATTGGCAAGATTCAACAAGGACACAAGACAATAATGTCTCACAACTAGGACACGGTATTAATATGTTTAAAATCCCTTAGAACAGCAGTTGCTTATTCCATTCTTAAATGTGTTAAGTACATTGCATGAAACTTTATTGATACATGGTACAAGTGCACATTGTGCCACCAGTCCATTGCATTGAGATTGGAGATAATTTGGCTTCTCAACTTGGCCTACTGTTCCACTGGCACTGTTTTCCCCAGCTCCTACCACTGGTAATTTCCTGCACAAATGGGCAATCCCAGCCTGCATTTTGAATCTGTATTTAGACTTTGGAAGATCTATCACGTAGTGTTGGTTAAAGTATCTGTTAGTTTTGCAAAAATAGCAAGCAGCTTAACATGTCTGGGTTTTGGCTTGGCTTACTTGTTTCTTTGCTTCACACAGAGACTCATGAGCAGCTCTTTTGATGCCATTGGCTTTTTCAACATTACTTACTATCTATTAATTTCATACTACCAGACTTCCTTGGCTGTTATGTATAAAATTACTTCCAAGTGACTAACTTGCAGACAAACAAATGAGGTTGGGCTCTGGACCAGGTAAGGGAGCACCAGCCAGGGTGTCTGGCACTGTGTTTTGTCTTTGCCTTAAAATGATGGGAGTTCATGCAGAAAAAAGGCAGGAGCATCTGTATGAAGTGTGACAGTGAGCAGAAGGTGCTGATATGATTCTGATCCCTGAAATCTATTCAGACAGTCTTTGATTGAGCTATTTGTGCAGCTGCAAAGTCAAAGAAAAAGTGGGCACAGAAAGAAGTAAATATAATTTCCTCATCCTTTGTTGTAGTAAATACCATTTCCTCATTTTTTGTTGTAGGGTATTTTTTCCCAATAAAGGAGTTACACAATAGATATAGACTGAATACACAACACAAACGGATTTCCAGTGACTCTCAAAAGCATTGCTTAAAAATGTCTGCCCCTAGGCATATCACTCAATGAATCCCAGAAGATGGAAACTTCAGACCTACCCTAACATTGAAGACATATAATAACCAGAAACAACAGGCCTTGAAAGCAACTTCAAAACCCTAGGAAATCTGGGAGTGAACTTTCTTTATTGCTCCTAATTACAGAATATTTCTTATCTTTCTCCTTATCTCAGTGGAAAAACATATTTTAAATGTGAGAAAGATATAAATAACAGGCCCAACTAAGTCATTACATTTTCCTGGTATTTTTCTCTTTTTTTCTCTACCTCTTTTTTTATATCTTGGCTGTTTCTTATTAAAAATGCTTGCTTTCTACTTAATTTTCCTTTCTCTATTTTCATTCCTAAAGCCAAAACAAAGAACAGTGGCTACCAGCTAAGGTCCTTCGTAATTCCTTTGTTGACACTTTTCTTAGCTTTCTTCTTGCTTCTCTTAACCTGAAATAGAAATGTTAATCAAATAAAAACAAAGGGTAAACATTATGTTCTCCCAGTTCTTCTAGCTTACTCCTAAGCAGTTAGTAGCTATAGCTGTATCAGCCATACCTGATTTGATGTAGCAAGAGTCAGGGTTCCTCAGCAACAAGGTATAAGGAGTAGGTTCCACTTTTGTCCAGGATATTAGCCCAAATGTGCAGTACAGCCCCTCCCATGCTCCTTCCCGCCTCCCCTTTGTGCCAGTGCCCACGCTGTGCAGAGGGAAGAGAGACAGCTGTTTGGGTAACAAATCAATTTAATGTCACATGAAAGAATGCAGAACCAAAATCTGAGCTAATAGGTTTTACTTGACAGTTTTGCCAGGCTCAGCACAGGTAAATTAGTAACCAGGGCCCAGCTTCTGGATGGCAGAGTGCACGGGTGACCATAACCCACATCTCTGACATCTCTGAGATGTGAACCTGAGTGACCAACAGACCTCTACCATCATTATTTCCTATCATGCTCCATTACCCTGAGACTACCAGGAATTTTGGACACTTCCTTTCTTGCTTTAGAATTTCCCTTGATATTAAAGCATTGCAAATTTACACCAGAAAATCTACAGAGAAGAAGTTGTTCCCATATTATTTCATCTTTCATTTTGAAATCAAATTGTTTCATCTGTAATTGAATATATGTGTTTTTTAGTGTTAATTAACAAATACTAATTTTCAAAATGAGAAGACCTTCAGAAAAAAAACTTTTGGCTAATGGATAAAAGCTTGATCAACTTGTTAATTTTAGTTACAAAATCAGTGTTTAATCACAGGAACTGAAGCTCTTTTGTTGTAAGTAGTTTTTGTTAAGCGATGGAAAATTTTCAGTATTATATAAAAATAAGCTCAATTTGCTCTGCTATAAGACTTGTGCTTCCTCTTCTTCCCAAAATTTTTTTTTTTTTTTAAATTTTCCTTTATGATCTGGCAGTTCGGCAGAAACACGAATAAAGAACTTCTAAGGAGGGGAATGTTTTAGACAGATAAAAGACATCTTTTCCTGATAGCCAAACCTCTTGATGCACTTTGAAGGCAGTAATCATCAGTCTTTGAATTTTTCTTTCCTTTTCGGGGAGGACAGCTAGATGGAGATGCTTAAAATGACCTTTTAAAATGATCTTTGTAAGTATATTGTCAAAGACTAGCCTTGGTTCCTTCCAACCTATCTTTTATTTTTCCTTTTGTTACTCCCTGGAACAGAGCTCTTTGTCCCCAAAGGAGTTTGATAGTAGCAAATTGCTCATATCAGCTTAGAAAAACTCATCCTCTCCTGTACTGTATGTCCTTTTATTTAATTTATAATAGTGAGGCAATTGGATCCTTGGCTTTGTTCTCTATATAAAGTAACAGAAACCTAATAGGAGCAACCAGTGGAAAAGAAAACCTTACTCTAGGGCAGGGAAAAAAATGTCCCTGTGACAGACATCACAGTGGGAAATCATGACCTGGTTTAGCTTCAGTCAAGGAGTGGTTATTGGGGCAACTTAGTTCAAGAAGCAAGTTACATCAGGTTTTTGCATTTTTTGGGAGTGAGAAGGACAAAAGATGTCAGCACAAAGAAAAAAAAAATCACACAAGGAGAAGAAAGCAGTCTGCTTTCACTTTTTATTTCACTTTTTATTCACAGTATATTTCCACTGCTGGCTTCTCATTTTGCACATTCATGGTTGTCCAAGTGTTGACAGGAATCAATTGGCTTGTCATTACTTGAGATAGATGCCCTGTACAGGAACAGGAGCAACTATGAGATTCATGCTTTAACATTAATATTGCTTTTCTATCAAGGTTCAAAGCTGGGAGTGTACAGGTGTTAGCTGGGTAACTCAGCAGAAATAACAGTCAAAGGTAGTTACAGACATTGGTACAAGTTAAAGAATCCCACTAGTCTTGTGATCCTCTCCAAGTAAACTGTGTGCATGGAAAGTAACTGAACTAGAATGCTATTCTGATTGATAAAAAGGCAGACTTTTCACTCACTACTCTGATAATCCATTCCCCTCTTCTCAGGCCACACTGTGATCAGAGACATGCACACATAAAAGAGACAGGTCTGTGACTACTGTCTTTTACAATCAAGTTTGTCACAAGAAAAATCTTCTGTAATTCCACTTCTTAATTTGTTTTTGTAAAGCATCATATTAAGTTATTCTTCTACTAAAAAATGTAAGGAAAATAAGAAAACATCATAAAATACTGTAATAATGCAGGCAATAAAAATGTAGGGTCCATACAGGAAGAATGCAAGCTTAGTATAAGTTTCTAAATGTCTTAATCCACTATTCTCAAACCCTACATTTGCTTTTCCTGTATTAACAACAGAACACTTTTGTTACCTCTCTGGTTTCATATTTATTCATGACTAGCACATGTTACTCCACACCAATAGTTTGATATTGGTATTATATGTATGAAAACCACGTAATCAGAAATGATTCCTGTGATTGGTGATGACTCCATTAAACAATTTTCATTACTTTGATCTTTTTGGAAATGTAAATGCATTTTCAAAAAACATAAAAACAATATATTGAGTTTTAGTTTCTTCATTATTCTTAATGTACTCCATTATTGATGTTGCCTCATTGACCTTGTCCCCTGAGGTAAGCACTGCTGACACCTTTTTTATTATTTTTCTCATTAATAAACATGGCCTTCTCTAGGCCATGCACTTCTTCCGCCATGTAGAGTGGATAAAGCATCTTTTATCATTCATTTTTTATTCATTGATTGTTGATTCTAAGTCTTTCCATGCCATCTTCCTACGAAAAGACCACTGGACTGGTTAGTTTCTTAATTTTGTAAGCATGCACATAACTGAGCTGTTGGTGTAAGACTTACAGGCTCCATATTTGGACACTGGTAAGTGAAAACACAAAATATTTGTTGCTGTTGTTTTGCCTATGAGCAAAGTATGTTATTAATGTAACTTGCTAGTAATATCTCATTGTAAAATACAAATGCTGACCCAGCATCAGAATGAGAGGAATCCCTACCACTTTTGCAATCCTTCTCCAAATCCACCATGTCCCTTATCCTTTTAGCAAACTTTCTAACAGGCTGTGCTGTGACATTTAATAGACTAGACTGCAGATGTCTAACTAATGGTTAGACATTAACCTACAGTGTAGCTCCCCTAAATCTGTTATTCCAGATTAGGAAATGAAATGGAAAATATTCTCTGTGACCTTTACAGTGCTCTTAGCCACACAGATCCACCAAAGGCAGAGAAAAAGACCTTCTTCCTCTGCCACGTCATCCAGACATGCACTTCCCCTACTCTACATCATCTAAATGCAGATGTCTGTGTAGCATTTACTTAGCTCCCTCTTCTCCTGTCTTAGGCATACAAACATGGTAAATACAGGGACAGTTTTAAAGTCTCTGAGTGTATAATTGCCATGTTTATCCATAATGATATAGGAAGTCTTCAGCCCAAAGAAACCCAAAAAACCCCAAGGTCAGGAGATAAAACTCCTTGACTATTATAATTTAGTTTCACTGCCTCTGTAATTGCAAAGTGAAGTCAATGCATTTTCTCTGCCTGATGGGGAGGATACAAAAGTAAAAGGTCAAGGCTTTATCCATCTGTGGTTCTGTCACTCACCTACTGTATAATCTTGCACAAATCACTTTGAGCAGTTGTGTATCAGGTTCCTAACTAGGACAGTTAATGGCATCTTCCTGCTCTGCAAATAATTTTACATCTATGTCAATTCTAGTAGCTTAATAATGTTAATCAATATTAATTTACTGGACAATGCTTTTAGATGCCTTTTGTGTGCTTACTTTTCTGTACTAAGGTTTCCAAAACTGTTTTTATTGTCATGACTGTAAAATGTATTTTAAATCCTTATTTTTATTATGTTATTTTCCCAAAATTGGTAGTGAAAAGGGATTTTTTTTCAGCAATGTGTGCTCTTTTCCTCTAATGCTGGCTTATATCAATGATGAGTGATTTGAAAAGTCACGCCATCATAGCAATATAAAGGTGTAGCTTGAAACCTTGACTTTATTCAGAATTGTTCACAGTTGCACTCATTCAACCCAACTATTTTTTACCTTATTCTCTCATCTATTCATTCTCTCACGCACCCTGCTACTGACCTATTCCCTGTATTATGTATCGGTTTGCAAACCTCTGGGCATGTTCAATGCCCTTTTCACTGACTTACTAAAAACCTACCACCTGTTCACTCACTCACTCTTGGACAGACCTGCCCTCAGCCTCAGACCTGGCTTCTGAGACAGTTTTAGTCTCTCTCAGTCCTGACTCTGCTCCTGTATCTTCTATCCTGCAGCCTATTTGTTTGTGAGTTTAATTAAGGACTGCAGGTTTAAGAGCACCATCAGTTGTTACAGCTTTCTTTAACCCCTTTTTCTTTCTTAATTGCTTATTTATTTTTCCTGGCACAGATTTGACACAGCTTGCCTAGACTTAAAATACCTGTCTGTATATTCAACCCCAACACATTGTCTGAAGTAAATGTGTTAGGACTGAGGCAGTCTTTATATACTATTACTTTGCAGAAAGCATTATGTGTCCTTTTGAAGATTAGACTTTATTATGCTTATAGTAAAGGTTTTTAAAAGCATGTTTCCTCCATGTCCTTGGAATACTCATTATGGAATTGATGTGGACATGTATTAACAATTGTTCATTATTTGATCTCATTGCAACAGCATGCAGCATTTGGGAGATTATTATATTTTTTTGGAAAACAAAATCAGTTATAATTACTATGAGGACCAGTGTCTTCAGCCCTACATCACTAGCTCAGATTAATATACAACCCAGATTAGCATTACAGACCTCTGGAAACTTCTCAAATCTGTGTCAGAGGCCATTTGTCTTTTAGTCCTGTGAAATAAATGACTTATAATTGTAACCAAAAGGAATTTTCAGTGGTGCAATTCATGGTACCAGCTGTAAGTTCCCAACACTGTTATTACTAGTGTTTTCTTTTTCCCATCAAATCCCATTTGGTAATATATACTTGAAAGAAGGGTCTAAATGTGATTGAGAATTTGCCATTTGACAAGGTACAAATATCAATTCCTTGTTTCACCTCCAACCTTCAAGTCTGTAAGACTCTCCAGGTTTCACTGAGAATGGAGATTGAAAGCTACTTCATAAAAATTAACAATATAATTCTTAAAAGGTAATGACATATTACCTGGATAGAGTCAGAAATAATGCGAATTTTGTGTTTGTGCTAGCCTTTGCTCCAGTTCCCTTGTGCCACTCCCTGGTTTTGGAAATTTGTACAGACTGCAGGCTTCATGGGGAAACCTGACAAAATCCCTGTGATTTTTCTACTCAGAGCTAAGAATTGCCCAAGTCTAGATTCTGTAAAATGAGAGATTAAAAAAGCATCTTTGTTTCTTCCCTTGTAATATAATTTCATAGTTGTATTCCCTCAGGACATGCTTAAAGTCTTGTCTACACTGGAGGGTTTTGTCAGCATATTAATACCAGCAGTCAGTCCCAGTGGAGATGCAGGTTAATCTTCTGATGGTATAAATTACGGCAATTTACCAAATACAGTATGATAAGGATTTTTTACCATGCTACTGTATTTTCAGCAAGGATTTTCTGGCACGGATTCATTTCACCCTCTCATTTATGCCCCTTTCAGACTCAGGTTAATCATCAGAAGTGGTTCTGCCCCTTCCTTGCAGACCATGTCTTCTCAGCCACTCCTACTGCCATCTCCCAGATGATTATGGGTATGATTACTTTCTTTTCCATGCTTCACATCCAATGTTTTGATGGCATTACGACCATATTTGATGTCAATGGCGTGATGAACACTGATTATCCATTGTTAAGATGGACTGTTACATCACCATTTTGAAAATGTAGTGCAGGAAAACTCGTTTCCCACTGTTTACCACACAACAGACTGTTTGCCGGCTATGCTAGTAGCCTCCTTCAGATGCTACCATTTCGTAGACCCTGAAATATCAAGGTTGCTTTGCATGTAACTTCCTTAATCTGAAGTTATTACCATGCCTCCATGCTTTAAGAGGCTAGATCTCCTCAATGATTTCTTCCTGATGTTATTTCTTACCTACAGCTAATATGAATTATTAGAGATTGACTAGCATGTTATTGTAAAAATACAGTATTGTGAAATGCCGGAATTTAAAGGTCAGGCAGTAAAGCAAGTGCTATTGTCTGACAAGCTAAATATTTTGTCCAGTCTTGCTTCAATGACTACTGCTAACCAAACTATGGCAATTTCATGACACTGGTATCACCTGTTCTGCAGCAATAAAACAAACCAAACCCCAATCCAAAACCAGAGACCCATGTGTCGGTCCATGCCATTCATCTGAACAGTCACACCAGGCGTGCAGGGACATGACGGTAATCAATAGCTCATCAGTGACTCAGCAGGATCACCGCGGGTGAGATCTGTGCATTTACTGACCTATTTTCTGTCCTCCTTTCATATACCGCCGAGCAGTCACCTAAGCGCACCTCTAAGGCGCAGTAATTCTAGTAGCAACGGCTTATGACACGAGTTATTTCACTCCCATGGTACCAGGCTGGATCCCAGGCGCGGTTTTCCCTGCGGTCTGCGGCGAGCGGATCCCCCGTGCCCGCGGAGGGGCGGAGGAGGAGCGGCGGAACGCGACAAGCGGCGCTGGGTGCGAGGGCGGCGGCGGCTCCGGCCCGGCCGAGCCGCGGGACGCCGCACCTGCTTTCGGCAGGGACAGCCCCAGGGACGGGCGCGGGGGAGCGGTTCCGCCGCCGCCGAGGCCGGCTGGTGCCCCAGCGCCGCCGCCGTTAACGGGGCCGCGCCGCCCGCGGGGGAAGGGCCGAGCACCACCGAGCTGAGGGCGGCTCGGGCCCCCGCCAAACCCCCGGGAGCCAGCCCAGCCGGGCCCGCCCCCAGCTCCGCTCGGCCGCCATACTGCGGGGCGACCCAAACTTGTTACACCTCCTCCTCCTCCTCCTGCTCCTGCCGCCGCCGCCGCCGCTCCCGCCGCCGGCCTGCCCCCAGCGGCGCGGGAGGAGGGGGCTGCGCCGGCCCAGCCCCAGCCGCGGGGAGGGCGCCGAGGCGGGCGGGGGCCGTGCGAGGGGAGCGCCGCAGCGCCCCGCAGGTAGGAGCGCCCGGCGGGGCGGGCCGGGCCGCGGGAGGCGGCGGGCGGGAGCGTTCCGTCGCTGGGGCAGCGACCGTCCGGCCCCGCCGAGGTGGGGCTGGGGGAGCCGGGCGCGGGGGCTGGCGGCGCGGCCGCCCCTACGGAACGCAGCCCGTCCTGCCGCCTGACGGGGCCCGGCCGCCGCCGCGCTCGGGCGGGGGGCGAGGGCGCTGGCAGCCCCCGCCGGCCACGGGGCCGGAGCGAGGCGAGAGGAGGAGCCTGCAGCCGTAGCAAATGAGCGAGGGCTGCCAGGTTTATAAATCTGCTTTTCCTCCCACCCCCTCCGAGCCCCGCTGACTCCGGCGGCGACGGGCGGGCGGCTGCGGCTCCGCCAGGTGCGTGCCCGGGGTGGCGGTCGGGGCCCCGCCGCCCGCGCCTGCCGCACCTGCCGCGGGGGCGGGGGCGCGGCCGAGGGTGGTGAGGATGGATGCGGGGCGTTCTCGCCCGGCTGAGGAGCAGTCGGTTTCCAAGGGCCAGCAGCTCAGGTTGCCAGGAGTGTGTCCCGGCGCTTCGGGGAGGCCGCTGTCTGCTGGGAGCCGCCGTCCCTCGCTGAGCGAAGAGCCGTGCGCGATACCGGGTGCTTGCTGTCGGGTAACCGGCTGCACGTGTTCTGAAGCGCTGTTATGTGCTGCTTTATTTTTTAGCTGTCAGGAGAGTTTGAATCGGGTCTCCGCGGAGGTGCTGAGTTTGCAAGGTACGTGTGAAGAGAGTGTCTTCTGTCCCCATTTGCCTTTTCGGCTAATTCCGAGAGGATGTCTTCACTGCTTCCCGGAGGTGTGGGTTATTGCGTGGTGTTTTCTGCGTATACACAAATACGCATCATGGGCGTTTAAGGGAGAGGATTTGAGTGGATGAATGCAGCCGTGGTAACTTCATTGTTGCAGGTCCTTTCTATTACATGACTGCCTTTAGCAGGGAGGGGAGCAGAATTTTGATCCTGCCCTGGTGTAGTCCGGAACCTGATGGATCTGTAGATTGAAGGGATTTTTCAAGTCTGCTTTCCGGTTTAATGCTGAAACATTTTCCTATTTTCCTTCATGTCTTTATTGTCATGTACCTCTTACGGAGAGTTACTTCGGCTTAAAAATGTTTAAACCTTTAAGTTTATAGCACTCAGGTATTTCTAGTAGCTCTAGAAATCAATGTAGCAATAATGCATCTTTTTTAAACAAAATTAGAATTCTCACAGTAATTAGCACACGTCTTTTGAATGCTTTGTGCCCATCAGGCTCAGAAATAGCTACTGATCTCATACTCCCTTTTGGATACCTGTATGAAGGTTTTGTTAGAGAACAGTTTAATGACTTCTTTTATTAGAAAGAGTGCGAGCTCAGGCAATTACGCAAGTGCGCCTAAAGGAAGCTGTGCTGGCTGCGTGGATGGCGAATGTGGAGGCCGAGCCGGAGTGGGAGTATCATTTACAAACGGAGTCAGAAAGGGGCATTGTAAGGGAGAGCCGAGTGGCTCGTGTCGGGTGAAACACTGTACGTAGGGAGGAGTGTTTGTACCGTGTGCTGCCTGGGACGAGCAGGCCATGTATGGATGGCCACTCATTCTTTCTGGTAGCAGAGATGAGTTATAGGTGGCTATTTCCACTGGAAGCAAACGGATGGCATGGGAATGTGTTACTGCGTTTATATTCTTAGAGGATTGACAGATGAACTCTGTCTTTACTATCATCTCTTGGTGTGTAGAGGGAGTATTTCACCATCTCTCTCCTCCTCTGAAGTGATTACTTTATATACCTTTATCTGTGATCCAGGATTGCTACAGAGTCTGCTGACAAAAGCTGCTTCCATTCATACCTACCAAAATAGGTCTATACTGGTTTTTAAATTTCTCTTGTGTTTTTTTAAGAAGCAAAAACCATTGTAGCTAGTGGGGAGGGCAGTAGCTACTTCCACAACAAATTAAGTGCTTGATATGAATGGTTCTGTTTCGAAACTCGAACACTGATTCATAGGTTTTTCTGGACACTTAAGTACAGGTGTGCCCACAGGCTTAATTTAATATGCTGTGTTGCCATCTCTCTGCTGGTATTATGATTCAGTCTCCTCTCCTCCCCCCCAGCCCAGTCCCTGCATAAACAGCTATCACATTGAACACTTGATAACTTTTCTTGTTAACCTTGTATGGATACAGCAGGTGGATTTATACCACTAAGAGGTCCTGCAAACAGAAGAGATGTTCTGGATGCCCTGGCGCATCCCATATTGGCCTGCCTCCTGAGCAGCTGAGCCTCAAAGTTCCCTGCTCCATGCAGCCTTTTGCTGGGGCGAGCTGGAGAACTCCAGAGGATCTGTCATCTGCTGAAGGCCACTTGGGTGGAGTTGAAGGCTGCACTGTGCTTGCTCTGCAGCACACTCTTGTCCTCTCTCCTAGCTGTTTTAGGGGGTGTGTGCTAAAAGAATATTTTTGTTTTAAAATGCATATTCCTAGCTGTTCTCTTGCAGTGAAGCAAGTGGGAGGTCTCTTTCAGTCCATGTCAAAATCAGTTCTTATTCTGGGCTGCTAGCATTAGATTTAATACTTGCATATGTCACCTGCTTTGCAGAAGGTGTTGAATAAGTTGATAGGTGGTTGTTCCATAATCTCATTTTTAAGGATGGCTTTTTAAAATAGGACTCTAAATCAGTAGAAATAAAATCTTGGAGCATTTCTATCATACTTACATTACCTTGGAACTCCACCAATTGTTTTTAGCTTTGATTTTCTCCAGGAAAAAGGGAATTCCAAGCTAGTTGTTGCAATAGGGATTTTGTAGGTAACCAGAATATAAAGTTCTGAATGTGCAGAGGTGAAGTTACTTACGCCAGGTTTTGCTGTGCAAAGGTAATGAAATAATTACCAAAGTTGACTAACATGTCTTTTAAGCCTCCAGTGCTTCCAAATGTTGGGTCTTGTTGAATTCTTATTCTGTGATTTAAATGAGTTGAAAAGTAGCTTCTGAAGGTATATGACCATGAAAGCATTATTCATGATGGGTGGTGATCTACTATGAGTCTTACTAAACTAAAAATCAAGTACTTGTAGACATGACTGAGACAATTTTTCACAGTATTTTAAATTCTGGGTAGCATGTAAGAGTAAGGCTGGAGATTTAAAGAAACGAAAACAAGGAAAGCAGATAGGAAACTTTCATTGTGGTAATATTAAACAGTTTGGTGAGGGAGTGTTCTCTGTTGTGTCTTATACTCAGTTGCTGTATGCTATGTTAATTAACTGAAGAAAGGTATGCTCATTTGGGAACCTGCATAATAAACAAGGAGCTGGGAAGTGCTTTTGGCCTTTTGTTTGGTTGCTTTTTCTCTAAAGTTTTCTGCCTCCTTTTTTCTAACTAGTCATTTCTCTGATGATAAAGCAGTATTTTCTAAGGTTTTCTTCATCTGGCTTTGCTTAGTAGTCGTGTGCTTGAGTGTCTAGGTAGATAGATAGAAGAAATGTATTGAAAAGCATGAGAAAACTTTACTTGTGTACTGAGCTTGGGAGGATGAAGTGGCTGAAGAGCTGCTTTTCAGTGGAGCATACAACTCAACTTCTGGTTGAGTACCAGGTGGAGCTTGGGAATGCCAAAAGGCACCACTGAAGCTTCCATTTGCAGTTAACTTGCCAGTGTGTTGATACAGCTGTGCGGGATAGATGTGGAAGCTGTTTTAATTGTTTTCCTTCTGATACGGAGGTTTTGTCCTTGTTTCTTGGATGATTTGATGAAAGGAACCAAGAATTACTTTTCCTGTTTCATAGCTCTGCAGCTACAAAGAGAAAAAGTAGAACCTCCTATTTCAGACTAATGTGTGCTGTCATCCAGGATTGGGAAGTTACAGATCTTGCTGTCCAGAACTGAATTAATGAGGTCTTACATTTAATTGTATTCTGGCCAAAAAGCTTTTATATTCTTTTATCTTCCTGTAAAGTTCCAGGAATGCAAAAGCCTGTTTAGCTTCTGGATGTGCTGCTGTAGCCTGGTTTCACCATGAGGGAAGATGCTGCCTGCAGTTACAAGTGTGTTGAGCGCCTCTTCTAGCCAAGGGTGTCCAAGAGCTGCTCTGTTTCCTCCTGCTCCCTGTAACACCAAGTTGTGGTGCAGCAAGCTTCTAGGCATGTCTGTGTTTTTGAAAACAAAATTAATAAACATACCAGAACTTAATTTCTGTAAATGTAGTGCTTTCCCTTTTTGTATTATGGGATGGAGGAGGAAAATAAGACTTGTATTGAATGAAGGGTCATGAGTGTTTTTTCCACTACTGTTACTCCGAGACTTTGGACATATAAGTCTTTCAAAGCACCAGACAGCAGCCTTTACTTCAAGAGTGTGTTGTTCTGTACTGAGGGAGCCAGTTCTTGTGGTCTGGAGGAGGGAAAAAACCAGATGACAAAATAATAAAGAACTGTAAACAGATTACAATCATAATAAAAAAATCTGTAGATGTAAGCAGATAAGGAACTTAAGAACCTTTATAAAGATTGTTCATATAGTTAATTGAAGCCCATGTATGAAGTTTAGGTCCAAGTTTGTTGGTACAAGTTAATAGTGGACACTT